TTCCACCTCTGCTGAACACTACACCTACATAAATACATGCTATATTTGCTCACAACGCTCTCCTCCTCACAATCTTTATTCCGATGTGTCAACCTTAATGCTCAGTGCAGCTTTATCCCTATTATCCCCCCCAACTCTGCTGGAGTTGCAGCGCCCGCATTTCAAGCAAAGTCAGACCCCCTTCAGACTTAAATGTATACACTTCTTGACGTGTTTATGTTTAGCCTTCTACTTGACAGTCTGACATGTCTGTCCAGCATGTGAGGTCCTGTTACAATTTGTCCTTCTCCCAATATGTCAATCTTGTCTTGTGTAACTCGCTTCCAATTTGTCAGCACAAATTAGACGAGCCGCATCCCTCGTGCTCCCTTGCACTCCGTCTAATAAAAGCAATTCTGATTTTGATACAAGACGGAAATAATTGTCAAAGCATGCTCTCTAGGCCATTCATGCATTGTTTGTTTTGCATATAAAATATAGCTAAGGTGTAGCTTGGATATGGAGAAAAACAAGTACAACACAACATGTCAACTGTTATCTTTTTTTTTTTTTTCTTCCTTTTGAAATTCACTTTGTTTATTCCTTTAAAAAGTACTAAATAAATAAAACACTTATTTTATTTATCAGATGTTCTCCCGGCTTGTCAGATCTCACCGGCTAGTGCTTTTTGTAGAAACAACTACACAGACTACTAGAGATTAAGAAAAGCAGATGTCTCCTTCCACCCCAAAGGGCAACATTGGCTGACACCAGCATGTTGTTTTTTAAGCTCTCTCTTTCAAGGAGAGCTCATTTCTGGAGCTGAAACACATATTTTGGATTTTCAGCCCACATGAGTCGAACAGGCATGTTGAGCGTGTATCACTTTCCGGCAGCAACCACATGCCTCTGCTGCGGCTGCCAGTTTCTCATATCTACTTTTGGATCATTTGTTGCTCCACCAGATGTCTTGTACTTGGATTGGCTGCTGTCAAGGCAACATGCAGTCTTTTCTTGTGCCTCCTATAATTGCAGTTCAATAGGGAGGACTGCTTTATCCCTGTATATCTGCCATTATGGATCATATACAGTATGTTCCTAAATGGAGGTCTCTTAGTTTTATCTAGATGTATCTGGGATATCAAAAACATCTACCTCCTCTTCAGTTGTTAATAATCAAAGGTTTTAAAATGCAGTATAAATACTGTATATCTCCAAATCTCTGTTGTGACATAATCCTTTAAAGTTAGTGATGTGTTCACCTGTTTTGATGTCCGTTTTTGCTTATAACGTCGCAAATACGTATAATTCAGTGGTAATGTCGGTGTCAATAGATTCTGTGTCACCTCACAATGTGAATCGATGTGTTGGATGTGGTGAAAAGATAAATAATAAGGTTTTGTGAGTGATTTTCGGTGCAGTAAGGTGTTAGCATTTTTCGCTCGTTGCTAATTCAGAGGCTCAGTGTTAGCATTGTGGGTTTAATTTTTAAAAAAAATAAAAAATGATCAGTTAGATGAGTTTCTTCCCGTTACATGGATATAAAACATTCATAGTTTTATTAAATGAACATGCCCTCAGACACTGTTTCCTGCAAGATCTTGCGGCAGTGCCCCGGTACCGGGGTCTCTCGGGCTTAACAGGTTAAATAGCATATTAATCGAACCTAATAAAAAAGCATCTGGTACCTTACATTCTCAAACTGCAAACCAAATGCATTAACAGAGTGAGCATTTGATGCCACATTAATGGGTTCCTCTTCTCTCCTCAATAAAACCATAATACACTTGGCGCTTTTTCTTATCCATTCTGTGAAGACAAATGTCTGTTGCTACTTGTGAGCATAAAAAGCTGCCAAAACTGTGACGGATGCCAACTATATTGAGAGGCAACTATTGGCGCCTGGAAACAAATTTAAGGCCTTGGCCTACATCTGCTACACATTGACTCTTACTGATAGAATACTGGATACAAAAATAGCTTTTAGCAGTTTATCAACTTCTTATTCCATTTTCTTGGTTTCTTCTTGTTCTTTATAGAACACATCTTAATCCCAGTGAAAGGTCATGCTACTTTTTTTCGTCCAATGAAATGTGATGCACTTGCCCTGGTAAAAAAGACAGAGCATTTAAAAAGAAATGATATAAAAATATCACTGGGTGAACCCAATGCCCCCTGTCTGAATAGTATTTATCTCAAGCAACATATTGACATTTCTATTTAATTATATATAATAATAATTTATATATATATATATATATATATATATATATATAATTTATTGTAAAAACTGAAAAAATCAATCATAATCAATGTTTAATCAGAAGCCAACAGTACAATATTTTGGTATTGGAGGCACCTGGTTTCAGTTTGTAGTCTGTGTAGTTTTTACCAATTATATTTGAGCAGGCTTTGGTTGAATGTAGGCAAACAGTCTGTGTGGAGAACTATAGAGGCGAAACCCATTGGCATTGATTTACACTTTTTAGTACCTTAAAATGTAAGTGTAAACTGGTTTATTATAAAACAATGATTTTGTAGATGTAGTGGCGCAACTCCACTTTCGCCTACTCAAATTGGTCTGTAAACAATGAAGAGCGTATAGAAAAGGAAGTCTTCCACTACTAATATCTTCTGGCCACACCAGAATCCTAGAAATATTGCTCTTTCACTCCCAGAGGCTTATTCTGAAATTGTGCCTTTGACATCCAAGCCACCAGGACAGACTCAGAGATTACCTTTTTTTCTCTACGATGACCTAGCGCTGTGGAGCTGGGTCTTGCTATGAAGGCCTACCCTTTTTATAGGATTATTCCACCCTACACGTTAAGTCTCTTCAGGGCTGCTACCAGTTGGCACTCTTTCTGTCCGACAGTCTTATGTGTAACAGGTTTTATTAGATTCTTGATTATAGTCAAGTGGGATACCATCTGTTTCACAGCTTGCTGGTGGTCCATTTACGGTAACTTGTTGGTCTTCTCTTAGAACTGCACTCCCTAAACAGACCTTCTCTTAAAGGGTACATTTGCACATAAAAGGCCTGAAAATCCAAGTAACTAGTTTGGGCATTAGGTCTGTTTTTCTCACAATAGAATATATTTTAACTAAGAGTAAGCAGGAGCAAATGAGGCAGTTACATAATTTAGCTGGTGAGAAGCACTCCTTGCCAATAATATATATTTCCTTTCTTTTAAATGGAACCTTTTAATGCATTGTTCTAGCAACATAACCGTGTTCGCTGATTTGAAGGTCTCGACATCCTCGCAAGGTACTGTACGTGCAAGAACACTAGATAACCTAATAATCCCTTATATATAGACCTTTTTTGATTCTTCCACTTAAGGATGTCAGGAGAATCCAGCTGGGGGGCAACACAGTCTGACTCAAATTTCATGCGTGACCTTAAACTATGAAAAGTCATTTAAATGTCTTTGCATTGTCTTTGTATGATATCAAGCCATCCATACATTTGCATTGCATTTGGTGTGAACACTTGATAACAATGATGCAGATTGTAAACCATTTTCAGGAAAATAATATCTCCTTAACACCATTAGTGTCCTTTTTAGGTATTTTCTTTTCAAAAAATAGTTATTTATAAAAATGTTCGGTTTTAGAGTTGCTCACTCTTTCTTCTTCAGGGATATTGATGACTCTTGTTATTTGTTAATGTGTGACAATTTGCACACAAGGTAGGACAGCTTTCAGTCTGACTGCAGCCGAAAAGGCTGGCTCCCTCTCAATGACAACTGCTGGTAATGTTGCTGATTGCTCTTTTTTCCCTGGCTGTTTCAAAACAACAATGAAGTACCCTGGTATTTAATGGACTTGGCATCTCGTATCTTGGATTATATTGTTGATTTTGTTCCTGTAGCAACACGGGCACACTAACGCAGCCTCTTTAGTTATTTTTTCTTTGTCTGCATGCCTTTTTTTCTGGTTGACAAAAGGCTTTTTGAAAAAAGGCTTTTTCAACCATGCTCCAGGCTTTTCTGGGTACAGAGCGGGATCCTTGTATGTCATACTTACACTGACAAATAAAGGTTAGAGAAATAACCTTCACTTTCAATAATATACCCATGAGGAATAAATCATCTGAATCAATGCTTGTAAAAATACTTCCATCTCCCGCTTACAGTACATACTATAACTGCCTGGAAATTAATGAGATTACTGTTCAGTTTCCGGATTGGATCCGGCATCATTTCATTGAGGCTGAGTGTGTCATTTCCTGAATAAATTGTATTCAGTGAGTGAATGAATTAATGATCCCTTTGTTTGAATAGACATTCAAGCGTTTGCGAATGACCATACATACCATTAAGTGGCTGAATGAAGCCTGCACAAATGGCCTCAAAACATTTTGCTGGGCAGCCATCAAGTACTTTTTGGATGAAATGGAGCAAAGGCAATTGTGACTGTGCGCCATTTTGTGCTATTTGGATAATGGAGATGTCATGATGAAAAGCAGTCTCTTCTCTGAGGTGTTGCATTTTTTTTTACACAAATCGAGATTTATGGTAGCAGATATTTGGTCTAATTGATTGAATAATCATTTCATTTTGAAATGCCAGTGAGGGAAGTGTAGGCATGTATTTCTCTGAGTGACAATGTTCTCAAAGGTTCTTTGGATCCTTTGTTCATCATATTGAGTCAGCGGAGAGAGCAGGAACAGCCTATTGTGCTATTGGTAATGAAATTCTCAGATTTGCCCGCATGAATCAAATGATTCTGTCAAACAGATGGAGTGATTCAAATTAGATAAAAGAATCCGACTTTCCGTGTACAATACAGAAAGATCACTTCCTTTTCCACTAAGAGAGATCCACTTCCCTCCTCTGACCTCATAAAATAATCTACAGTACATTTTATTCACAGCGCATTTTTCTCAGTTCAGCATACTGGGAGCTGCTTAGTAATCCTTTTTGTTTGAATATTTCTATGCAAGTGTTAATGTGCAGATAGGACAAAGGCGGCAAAATGGCGACAACGTCTCTGAATAATACATTCCATGAAATCCATTGGAAAAAAAAGAATTGCAACTTTTATTTGTATTCATGTACAGTATGAACTACAATCTCAGGTATCAATAATTGAACATCATCCTCAGAGAAATGAGTTGGACTCCTTACAAGCACAGTCTCTTGTTTTTTTTCTTCTTTTTGTTTTAGCTTTTTTGTCTTTTTTTAACAATTGAAGCACATGTAAAATTATGATCTGAAGATCTTTTTTTTTTGCATTATGTTTTTGAAAATATTTTTTTTATTTTGTAGAAATGTAACCTTTTGATGACTATTCTCTCCAAAAATGAGAGACAATATTCCCACATACAGTAACCCTCCCTATACATAGACAGTAGGCAGAATAACACACAAGAATCGGATAACCTTGGCTTGGGGTTTTGCACAAAAATCAAGCTCACTCTGCTGGTATTTCAAGTCCAACATTCTGCAGGTCAGTCTAATTTCATTCTGGCATTCAAATTGATCTCCACATAAAGCCATCCTGCTCACGCAAATACCAATACAGAGATATTCCACTCATCCTGATAACTCACAACCCTCATCCCCAAATATATATATAAAAAATCTCAACCTTTTTTTTCACTGTAGCCAGCGTCAACATTGAATCATTAAGCCACCAAAAGCATTGAAAAGGTATCGAGCATTGAAAAAGAAAACAGTGGAAAGGGAAAGAATGGTTTACTCTACGTTGTTACCATTGATGGTATTATTCTCGCCTTTCGTAACACAAAATGAAAGGCTGATAATGAATAGGTTTCGCGAGGGATCACCAGTCATTAATCTGTATTTTGTATAAATCGTAATAAATACATTTAGGGGACTGATTGATAAGAAGTATATGATTTTGTGCGTGTGCCAGTGCTTAATGTGGCTCACACTCAAATCTATGTTAGTACGGCTGCTGGACATTTATGTTAAAATGTTCACATCATTCAGTAATATATCATTCAAGTAACTGAACATGTTTGTTGCACTGCAAAATAATGTCACAAAGCTCAAATCCCATAAGAACTATTTTTAAATGTACATTCAATTGTCAGTTTTGTCGATAATTTGTCGCATTTCTGAAATTGCCGGTGGGAAATTAAATATGCTTGTTGCACAGAGACCAAAGTGAAAGGCATATCTACCTCTCCTTTCTTTCTGCACAAGGTCACTGTTTCCATGGCGACGGTCTGATGGCTAGTTTTGCCTCCTTGTTCCTTATCTTTTTTTTCACTCCTCCTGCTTCATATCAGCAATATATTTGTTTGAAGACCCCTTATGGCCATTGTGGGTTTGGCTCGCCTTTTTCCACCCTCTGTTTATCACTTTTCTTCCCTACCTCCCTTTTCCTTAAGCCTTCCTCTTTGAAAAGTAAATGAAAAATCAAAGCGCAAACAGACTACAGGAGAGACAATGTTTTGATGGTCTATAAATCACGCAACATCAAAGTGTGGGTGTTTTTCTCTCAAAAATGAGACTGAGCAGGGGTCACTTCAATATCAAAGGCCTCTCCCCCCCGTTAGATGTCGGGCGCAGGGAGAGTGGAAAAGTCTTATGCTGTTTTGTTATCAGCTTTCCCTCTGCAAATGAACTGCTGATACAGATTAATGAGCTACAACCCATCTCCCCTTATTTTCTTGCAGGTTCCTAGCTGCTTCACTGACTATGTTAGCCCCGTCTGCTTTAGTCTGACAGGGTCACACATTACAAAGCAGCCTCATTTGCCTCTTTAGCTGTTTAACAGATGGACTATCAGCTCCCATGCTCGTATGACCCTGGGGTAAGGTAACGCGACACTGAGTGGACGTAGATCATTACTAGGTTAACAGGGTGGCTACATACTGCAGCCTTATGCTCCCCTTCATTTTCCCAAGCAATATTCTGCCGTCGTGCGGCACATGCCGGCGGATAAAGCGAGACAAATGAGACATGGCGAAGGGTGAAGAACGTGCCTGAGCTAAGTGACAGAGAGACAATGAAAGAAACAAGAGGACATGTAAGAAAGATGAGAGGGGAATACAGGGAAGATCAAGCCTAGACTTAAAGAAGAGAGGAGGTGTACAAGGTGAGAAATTGTAGAGGTTGAAGTGTAAAGTAAAGGTAGAAGGAAGAGTGGGAGCAAGAACTTAATCTTAATTAAAGTGAAGGATGTATGGTTGTTTTTTAGGAGCCACAGGGGAAATGCAGTTACTAATTTGGCTGCCTTGCTCCTCAGGCATGCTGGCTTCCCTGCGATATCATCCAGAGCTCTATCATTAGAGGATCTAATTTGGTGTTGAGTGACAGTCAGCTGGAACATGACAGCATGAATAAACCCATTTTATGTTTATTTTTACTCTTATAAAACACTGCTGAATTGGACATGGTGGCCTGAAAAACTAGCAGATTTCAAATTGGTAAATGCTTATACATCTTAAAACGGTGCCCTCAAACAAAACACATTATTATCAGGTAAAATCTAAATATTAAATGAATGGCGTTATATTAATTATAGATCATTTTCTACACATGAGCTGTATTTGTTTGCTTGTGTTCATTTGTTTTGTAAACCATTCTTTCCCTTGTGCAGTATTACACAGAAAGAGAGAAATAAAATGAGCTTAAAAGCTATCACAAATTGTTTTTCTTCATTTAGCCACTAGACATACTTTTAATAAATAATCTTTGTTTTTGTAAAGACACTTGGTAAAGTATCATATGTCGTCCCTTTGCCAAATGGTGATTCTTCGTCATTACAGACATCACCTCTGTCAGGTTAATGTCATCTTGACTTCTTTTTTATCTTCACATTTGGTCCATTGTACTCCAAGTATGAAACTGCTGACACAAGATGTTTAGTCAAATTCAAGATCAGATTTGGGTCTCTTGTACATTGTCTTTTGAGCAGGCTTGAATCAGTAAAGGTTCCTGTGTGGCTGAGCTGTGTATGGTACTGAGCATAGGACCGTGGTGGTAACTGCTCTTGTAGGTGTTGTAGTGGTTGTAGTGCTCCAGAGGAGGCAGCGATAGGTGTCTCTCCATGGCAGCAACACCTGCAAGCTCTTCTTCAACTGTAATGACCTCCATGGAGGAGGCAGGGCCATCCGGATCCTGCTGGTTATGTTGCTTCCTCATCTTGTAGAAAATTACCAGCAGAACAGCAGCCATTAGCGTTATGGCCACGAAGCAGCCAATGATAATCTTGGTAGTTTTCATCACCTCATCCAGGCCATTGAGGGCTCCCTCTCCATCCGGATCAAGAACTGGAATGGTGTAAGTCCGCTCTGTGGTCCTTGTGGAAATAGGAGTACCTTTTGTTGTCGAGGATGACACCCAGCCAAATGGGGGAAGTGGCGTTTGGCTATAGTCCCCCGGGGACTCAATGGTCTCCACAGTGACTGTGGTAAAATAGGTCACCCCGCTGTTTTCCACAGAAGTGACATTAAGCACAGCAGAGGCAGAAATGTTGCCTGCTGTGTTGCTTACCATACAGGTGTAAGTCCCAGTGTCCTGCATGGTGACACTAGTAAAGTTCAGTGACCCATCATTGAGTACAGACAAACGTACCTTGTAAGCCCCATGTGTCACCAGCGAGCCATTTGGTGTAAGCCAGCTGATGGATGTCAGCGAGCTTGTACGACATTTAAGCTCTGCACCCATGCCTTCTGTCACATTCAAGTCACTGGGTGGCTCCACAATGACAGGAACATCGCACTGGAAGTAGCTGTGGTCCAATTCCCCAATGTAGCGACCTTTATAGACTGCAGGCGAATGGCAACGGGCGCAGCAGCTAGTATTAGCGGGTACTGTCTCCTTCAGCCACCAGCTGAGCCACAGGATATCACAGTTGCAGTTCCAAGGGTTGTGATGGAGGTGGACCCGCTCCAGGCGATGCAACGGTGTGAAGAGGTCATGTGGTAGAAAGGTAAGGTTGTTGTGAGCTAGGTTGAGCTCCACCAGAGACTGAAGGTCATCAAAGGAATTCCTCTCTAAAGTTTGTATCTGGGCATGCATCATCCACAGCTTCTGGAGGTTCACTAATCCTAAAAATGCGCTGGGCTTGACAACAGTGAGCTGGTTTCCTGACATTTCTAGCTCTTCAAGCCTGATCAAAGGTAAAATGTTTGGGATCTCCTTGAGGTTGCACATTCCCAGGTTTAGGTAGCGCAGGTTGCTCAAGTCCTTGAAGGCTCCATCAGAAATGTAAGAGAGACGTTTGAGCTCACCTAGATCCAGCCTTCGAAGCGAGGGGACTCGGTTGAAGGCATAAGATGGTATACTTTCGATCGGGTTGTTCCGTAGCCACAATTCCTTCAGCTTGGACAGGTACTCAAATGCTCCATTGGGGATTGTCGTGAGCCGATTATCAAAAAGCTCCAAAGTGTTGAGACTGGCCAGTCCATTAAAGGCGCCAATTTCAATGTTGCGAATGTGGTTTTTGCTCAGCTGCAGGATCTCCAGATGGCGCAGATGTTTGAAACTGTCCACCTTGATGACCTGGATGAGGTTGTCCTGGAGGTTCAGGTAGCGAGTGTTGGTGGAAATGCCATCTGGGACGTCCCGTAGACTTCGGCGGGTGCATATTACTTTGCTGAACTGGTTGCTGCATGAGCAGACAGAAGGACAGGTCTGAGCGCGAACCAGCCCAGCCACGACCAGGATCTGAAGGGCCAAAAGCAGCACGAATAGGGGGTTGGACAGCGCCCCCTTCAGCCTACGACCTCTCATTGTCTGGCGCTGGAGGGAGGAGATCATTGTGTTCAGCATTCATAGTTCATCTGCTGTTTGAGTTCTCTGAAACAAGAAGAAAAAAGTGAGAAGAATATTTAGTAACCACATAAAGTAGCAATAAGTACATTGTTAAGTTCATCAGGGTATATGCAGGAATCCTGAAGTCAAATTTAATACCTTTTAAGGCCTTTTTTAAGACCCTTTCCACACATTTTAAGACCTCATCGCCACTTCGAGTTCTAACCGGTTACATTGACGACACACTTTACCTCACATTTACTAAACAGTATTGATTGTAAGATAGCACAACTAAACAGTTTGTGATAATAACTCCTTATCATAATGCAGATTGAACAAAGCACAAGAGAATGAATTGTGTGACCAACACAATGCAAGGTTTGTTAGAAAAATAAACCATTTTAGAAAGTAGTATTTGATTTAGGCATTGTTCCCAAGAGACAGACTACTGAAGCCTCCTCTCCACATGAACTTCATCCTCTCTGTCAAGGTCAGGTTTAATGCAGTATGCTGCTTTTGTGCTTCTGTAGACACACTTTGTGCTCTTTCATTCCAGTAAAACTCCTCAGAAACCATTAGAAACCAGTATTTGACCAATAAACAAAACAATTGACAAAACTTTGAACTATATTAAACTTTGGTGAGCTTCAGCGGGGTAATGCCATATACTGTAGGAGCTCCCTCACAAATACCCAGGGGTTATATTGGGCCGGGGCTGTCCGGGGCTAATCCCGGGCACATAGGACGATGCTCTGACGTCATCACCCTCGCACATTTGTCATATGTTTACAAAAAACGATATATATGTTAAGACTTTTCTCGTTCTTAATATATGCTATATTTAGGGTCGATATGTGTTGACTTTACTTTAAAATAGCAGATCTCTGTGACCGGATATAGTTTGTCGGCTTAGTGAACGTGTGTCTCTCCCTTGGAGGAGCAGCATCGCCCGGACTCCGCTGCTCCTTCGTGCAGAGAGTCAGCAGCTGTGTGTGTCAGCGACGTGCAGGCAGGGGAGGCACGCCACAGCTTTCTGGCTAGCACTTAGCATGTGGGACCGGACAGCTTTGATCCCCATCTACAGTGGCGATTCTAGAGTCTGTGGGGCCCCCTCGAACCAGCTTTCATCACCATCAGGCACCCCAACACACTCTCCCCCCCCCCCCCAGAGCGGAGCAAGGCAACGAAAGTTAAAATAAGAAGCAGCATTTTACGGCGCGCTATGCATGGGGCCGCCTTGAGGGGGTTTCCCGACATGTCGTCGTAGTAAATTAAAGGGTGCTTCATGTTGTCGTTGCTGTGGACCTTCTTAATACCTTGGAAAATGCCGTTTAATACTTTTGAATACTTTTGAATAGCCTTCATTTTCGCTAAATTGATTGATCAACTTTTAATACTTTTTAAGACTTTTTCATGCATTGAGCAATAGTTATCAATGTCTCAACAATTCCCAAAATCTTTTGAATTTAGACTCTTGGTCAGATGGAACAAACCATTTGAAAGATGCAACTTGGCGCCCGACAGGAACTCATGAACAGCGTACACCGGCAAGACAAGTTCATTTATTTTTGCCTGAAATAGTGCTATGGCTTATAACTTGATGGAAAAACACATTGAGTAATTGATAAATGTGATCCAGTGACACAACAATGACAATGTCTTATTATTTTTTACTATTTACTTAAATAATATATATCTTATTTGATCATTGTTTTGTATTTCCTTTGAAATTATTTATCAGTGATTTATTTCCTCAGGTTTAAAAAAAAGCAGCCTTTATCGATTCATGAGGAATTGTTTTTTTTTTCATTCAAATATCTCAGTACTTTTTACTTTTCATTATCATCTAATTTATTGTCACATGAAAAAACCCTCACAATAACGTTAATCAAGTATGTGAAGAGGCCGGATATGGCCCTTGTAGAAATATAAAATAATGTATTATCTCCCTCAAATCAAGTGACTAACAAGGAACTTGTTACTCTGTTATCTTGTAATAGATTGAATCAGATTAGATTACTCCATTCAGCCAAAGTGTCTAAGTATATGCCTGAGTGTGCTCAAGATAAAAATAGACCAAGACATGTATACACATACAGCACAGCCTGTACCTCCCACTTCCACACAGCAGTGTTGATGTGTGGCTATCACACCTTATTATCTCATGCCCCCAATGATGGTAACCTACATATACACCTATATGTACTGTATTCTTAAGCTATGGTATATGTGACATCAGTTAAGTGATGCAGGCACTATTCTTCAATGCAGTTAGTGCCTTTGCCAAGAACAAAGCACTCTTGCATGCTGCAAAAAACATTAACCTCGCCTACTGGGTCCTTAGATTGAAGTATTCTCTTTGTCTCTTTCAAGCTCTTCCAACTCAAATGATCTGTTAATCATCTCTTTCCATCAACCCACACCACAAAGACAGGACAGGTGTTTTCTAAACTGTAAAAATGGTTAACTGAGATGGAAATGTTCTCTGTAAAGATGAGTGGCTGGCTTAATCAGTAGAAATGAGCCTACATGTGGCTCGGTTTTGCACCAGCCAAGCTGCCACACCAGCCGTGGTGGTTGGAGGCTGCGGAGAGACGAGCCTCTGCTGGGCATCAGATCGAATGAAGCCTCCTGCTGGCAGGAGCTCATTTTGTCTGGCTGGAATTACAACAACCCTGCGTTGCCACCCAAGAGAAGAAAATGTCAGACATGGCAAACACACTGATGGAGGATATTGACGGTCAATAAAACATCTCCGTTTGCAATTCCATCAGATTGCTTTAAGAAAAAGTATAAATTCAGCAATGACCATGTTGAGCTACCACTCATAGACTAATTATAGTTTTTTTCACATGCCCTCTTCATAAAACACTATATCTGAATACATTTCATCAGCACAGAATGCCTCATTACATAAAAAGATTGCAGAAGAAGAAAAAAACGGTTCAAACGTACTTCCTCCCTTTGTTGGTGCAACACTGAGTGGATTAATCCCACCTAGGCACACTCAACATGTATTCAAAGCCACTGAAAGCAGTAGCTTACATCTAAAATCCTGCCAGCAACATAAAAACACACCCACCATTACTTTGCTGCCCCTGCACCAGCAGCAACTGGCATTATGTCCGACACCACTGTGATTTGCCAAAATGGTTTGTTCTAATGAGTTTGTTGGAAAAGTGCTAGGCTAACTTATGTCTTAATCGGGGCACGCATAGCAATGATATTATAATATAAAGCAGAGCACTTAAACTACAATGTAAGATCATTAGAGATTTCTCAGTGTTGTTCACGGCAAGCACAACATTTCACTCCAACTGGCCAAATGTGTTTTCTTGGTCATTTCCACACACCAGGGAGGCAAGCAAGCTTGGCAGTTTCTACTGGAAACCACACAATAATTGAGGTAACGCAACAAAAAAAGAGAAACTGTGTCTTAGTCTCGAGGTATGAACAGAACAATCTCGTGGTACGAGAATAACAATGTTAACATTTCTCCACACAAGTAATATTGAGTAAAATAATACATCTGAGGATGAAAAGTAACAAGAAACATTGCATTATTGAACGTTTGCTTTGCAGTCACATTTTTGATTTGATGTTTGTCTAAGCTTGTTGTCATTAAACATTTCCCCTCTGAGTTCTAAGAAGGGATTTGAGCTGTCTTGTGCACAGCAAGATAATTCCAACCAAACGGCAAAGTGATAAACATCTCAATTTGCACTTTCACTATCAGACAAAAAAAGTCACATGTTCAGCTGTAAGCATGATAATCTCATGTGTGGCACACAATTATAATACTGATATCATTTAGTGGGAATGCTGTTAACAGCATTCCCACTATCTGTTCTTCTACGCACAAAATTCTTTATTATTCCGCCTGTTATTTTGGCCCTCTTCTTCTCCCACATTCCACATCGCAGAAACTCCGTTCAAACATCAAAACGTTCAGCTCGGTCGGGAATCGATGGCTATTACTTTTCTCATTCATAACTTTCATAATTCCCGAGATATAGCCCATAATTCATCAAATGTTTAACATTTTAACTTTACCATTGCGCAGCTTGTTAAGGCAGAGTGCGTGATGTCAGAGTTAGAGTGGAGGACAGTTTGAAATTTGCCTTCATATATTTTTTTAAAACTGCCATAATTCCCAAACCCTACATTCCTGAGACATACTTTTTCATGACAAACGTGGGAAAACATCTCGTAGCTTGAAAAATGACAAATAATTAAGCAAAAAAATTAAACAAAATGCCTCTTGAGTGCATGAAGTGACAAAAACTTTCAATATGTCTCCATTAAAGCCCATTGTAATTTCAGGCTGATATTTCCCCACCACAGCAGCCGCACACCTTTAGTTAATCTGCCAAAAAGGCCACATTATTGACCCGAAAGTACACAAAAAGCACACTTCAGATACTCAAGGTCCTTGAGATGCTTCACGCTTTTAAATGTTACCGATATCTGTTACTGTTCTTCAACAAAACGTTCACATGTAAGAGGTTTATCTCTCATTCAGAACAATAGAAACCTTTGATCTCTGGACACCTCGTTAGCTCAAATATAAACACCTGTGTCATGGAACACGATGATGTCATAACTCCAACTGACATGCTCAGAGCAGCAGACTTCAGATAGTGGTTAATGGTCCTGCCCTCAACAGCTCTACGTCAATTATGGGGTGTCATCATATGCCGTTTCCATGGAAACGCATCCCTCGCATTAAAAGACGATGTCGCTTTACATTAACTCCTATGAAAATGTTCAAAAAGTGCTCAAACTTCACATGTGTGCTAACAGTCCAGCCGTGAAGACATATGCGGGACAGTTTAGAGATTTCTTCAAATGCCGTTGCCATGGCAACACAATGCTCGCCATGAAACACGGTTTTCTCATAACTTGAGTGAAAATGCTCCAAACGGCCCAAAACTTCACAGGTTTGGTAACGATGCAGCCATCAACGCATCTAAGCGTATTATGGGATGTCATCAAATGCCGTTGGCATGGCGACAGATCATTCGCCATCAAGTTAGTTCAATATT